AAATGAGAGTCGAAAAAGAAAACGATATAGAAAGTGCTAAGTCTGGGTTGAGTCTACTAATTTGTATGGATGCAAGCAGTAAAACTTATACCACAATCGAAAGCCAACTCCTCTTATTATAAAATGAAATTACAAGTTCATAATTTTACAATTTATAATGTGATAAATCATGATTCCGATAATTATTTTTGGGATGAAACGGAAGGAAACCTGGTATCATCGACATTTGCAGCAATTATTGTTACTTATTTAAGAAATGCTGTTCTACATTCCCCTGACATTCATCACATTATTATCTATTCGGATGGTTGTTGTTACCAAAATAGAAATGTGGTTTTATCTAATGCTTTACTTTCATTGTGCGTAGAAAAAATATCACAATAGAGCATAAGTACTTGGTAGTTGGTCACACTCAAATGGAATGTGATTCAACCCATTCTTTGATTGAAAGGAAAATTAAAAATAAACAATTAAATTTACCATTCCAAAGCTGCCCGAAGAAGCCCTAACCCTTTGACAGTGCATCATATAAATCATAATTACTTTCTCAACTATGAGTCTATTCCTAAGCGATATGCTTCTATTAGACCAGGTAATGGACACGATCAATAACATTTGAATGCATAATATTGTTACAAAAATTTATATGTTCAATTATTTTATTTTAGGTAATAAGTCCGGAGATGCCACTGTCAATATGATACGAACTTTGGCATATGATCCAACTGGAGTCATTTATTTCAAAACAAATATAACTGATTCTTACCAACAGCTTCCACAAAGAATTGGAAAGAAATTCTCAGTTGTTCCACCCACGCAATTACATGAACAGAGAATAACAATTTCATTTAAAAAATGGCAACATCTACAGGATCTGAAAAAAATACTTCCTGCAGAGTGTCATTCTTTCTATGACAATATTCCATTTCAAAAGTAGTTTTAAAATGTAATTTAAAATTTAATTCATAATTAAGAATTTAAATAAAAATATGTTACTGAACTAACATATGAATTTATGTATAACAAGTTCAATTAAAAATGAACAACCTTTTATTTAAACCCGTTATTGCAAACTTTATTTTAATCAATAAACTTAATTTTTTTTATAATCAATTATTAACTTATTTACTTTCTTAATGCCGATAATAGTAATTTAAATTATATAAAATACCTTATCATTATGTTCAAACCTATTGAGTGTAGATACGTCTTTTTTGTATTTCACAAAAACAGAATACAAAAAGACGTATAACTCTCCAAATAATTGAAAAACAATTTTGTTTTATTTAGGTGTACATCTGTCAGTGTATTTAAAGTGAACATAGAAAAATCTTCATTTGACATGTTTATAGTTTCCATTCAAAACAGTTTTTTGCTTCTCCTACACAATTATGTTTTTGTTAGTTACGCCTTTTTGCATTTTAGCTGACGATATATGAACAGTAACCCGCATTTAGGCCTAGCCCCTGTGTGGGAGGTACCAGAAGGAGTGGACCGATATTCGAACTTGTTTATTTTTCTGCCACACTCATATATACTTTGAATTTTTTCTCAAAATTTAAGCTTTTCATTGAGTTCTTTATCGAAACAATACCCAATTTCGATAAATATTATGACTACAAAAACCTTATTTTATACCGTCTCCGAAATTTTCGCCTAAGACCCCACTAAGTATATGCATATTCAGCATAAAATACTATGTCGATGTAACCATATCCGATTGTCTGTTGAAAACATACACATGGCCAAAATGTTTGACACTGTGTCTCACCGAATTGTTTTTCTCGAGACACATGTAAACTGCATTACATTTCGAAACTTTTATTTGTAATAATTGACGTAACAAGTAAAAAACCGAAAATAATTAACAATATTTTGTTTGTGTGCCACAGGACAATAAAATAAAAATTCTTGACTCCCCTAGGCATTAATTGGACTGGAATCCTATAGTAAATATTTGCGGGTACTTAAAACAAATTTATTTATCTTGAAGATCTATCCAAAAATTATTTTCTAAGTACAATTTATGTTGTAGATGCTAAATTTAAACTAAATTTCGTTTTATAGTGTAAACATTTCTTGAATTGAACGAAAACTACGAAAACTTATTATTTTATCCATGTGTGTATATCAGTATTTCAAGCAGAGTTTTGAGATTTTGAACATCCATTGCAACTACTCCTAAGATATTTGGTATTGCAAGTGGTATATATCGGTCCTCGGCATGCCTCTATATAACGTTATCGCTCAATTTTCGTTCTTTTAAAGTTTTTGACGCAATTCCCAACCGACAGGGCGCTACTTTAATATTCCGGAATTGCAAATGCTATTGTAGCTGTTTTGGAGGGTTTCAAATTTGATGGAAGTCGATTTATATAAAAAATATGCATCTGACTTCATTTCAATGGTGCACCCTAAGATACTGTGGTTTACGATAAAATTCTTAGGATAATCTTTATCAGTCGATCCTGTTCAAATTTAGCCCTTCTCGCAGTTCTAATCACATAATTTGTTTTGGGACTTTACCGAAACTATATGTTGAACAATGTTACTTTACTTACTTAGCTAGCTTGTTACCGAACGGTTGTTCCATAAGCCGAGCTTAAAAAAGATTTCCAAGCGCGTCGTAGATCTTTCGGGGAATTTTTCATTCAAACACCATAACACCTTCAGATCCATATAATAGCACGGGTAGTATCAGCGTCTTGTAAAGTGTGAGTTTGATCTGGCGTAAAACAAACTGCCACCTTGTCTGAATCCTCGTTCGGTATTGAAGGGCTCCGATATGTCCTTTCCAACTTTAACTGCTGACCTTGTGCCACTTAAAGTTGTCCCGCATAGCCGTATTAATTTTGCAGTAATTCCGAACGTAGACATGACCTTAAACACCTCTGAACGGGTAGGGCTGTCGAATGCGGCTTTATAGTCGACGAATAGGTGGTATGTGTCGATGTGTTTTTCGTGGGTTTTTTCCAGGATTTGGCGCAGAGTAAAAATCTGTTCAATTGTGGATTTGCCAGATCTGAAGCCGCATTGGTATGGTCCAATAATGTCATTGACCATTGGCTTCAATCGTTCACACAGCTCACTGGATAGCACTTTATATACGATGGGAAGAAGGCTAATTCCTCTATAGTTGGCAAATATCGTTTTGACTCTTTTTTTTGCACGAGACACAGGATGCTGAGGTTCCAATCATTGGGCATGCATTCCTCTAGCCAAACTGTACTAATCAGCTGGTGCATGCTCCTAACCAGCATCTGACCACCAGTCTTGAAAAGTTCGGCTGGTAACCCATCGGCTCCTGCTGCTTTATTTTTCTTGAGCCGATTAATTGCTTTTATGACTTCATATTGGCTAGGTGGTATACACTCTATACCATCATCTCTTATTGGTTCTGGGGTATCTTCTTCTCCGCCACTATTTGATACCAGAAGCTTTTCAAAATGTATCTGTTACCAGGTTTCCTTCTTCACCTCTACAGGAGGATGTGCCTGCACCAAAACCTTCGGTTTGGTGTTTTACACTTTGGTAAAATTTCCGGACTTAATTCTGACTCCTGTACATCTCGATTTGTTCACGCTCACGTTTTTCTTGTTCTTTCTTTTTTTCTGAAAACACGTTTCTCCTCTCTCCTTTTCTCCTGATAATTCTCCATCACATTACGTGTTGCTACTGTCTGCAGAGTTGCCCCATACGCTGCGTTTTTCACATCAGTAGCAATACGACACTGCTGTTTCTAGGCGATCGTAAAATATGTCTTTGCTCTGCTCATATTTGTCTTCGGTCGAAGCATGGGCACAAATAAGACCGATGTAGAAGAACTTCGCTTTTATACGGATTATAATCAGGAGACGAGGTCTTTCATTCTCCTGTTAACCATAAATCCGCGGCCAAATTCATGTCTCGTTTCATGGCAGCTATAATACAGTGCGTAATAGTCTGATTTACTATCGCATTTTCTGTAAGGCAATAATATCGGCTTTGTACTTCTTGAGTACATCCGCCAAAGCGAGAACTGCGCCTGTTCTGTACAACGTGCGCACATTTCAAGTGCAAGATCGTGGTTTTTTATACATTTGCGGTGGTCGTCAACATCAGAGGGGGTTTGGTTTTCTTTTTTCTTAGTAACTCGACGCCTCATCCCATTTTTTATAGTTCTTATGGGTGAACTCGCGGAACATATCAGCTCACTATTTCAACAGGTGATGAAAATAACCAGGTGGCACCGCGGGAGGTCAGTGTCCACAATTGAGATGAAAGAGGGACCAAGATAAGCCTAGGCTTCGCCATGTTAAAGCCAGTCAGAGCCGTTGCATGGTATCTATCATCTCCTACGCCACTCGTTGAACAATGTTAACCTCCAGAATTGTCAATACCCAGTTATATAGCTAGTTACTTGGTGATCTAGTTACTTCATACCCCAAAAAGGAACACAAAATAGACTGTTGGATTTTTTTGTCAACTGAAAAAGCTGTTTACACACATCATACCAATTCAGTAGTTACTGGTAATGCAATGGGTAATGAATCGACTATCGAAATGTCTGTATTCTGGTAACGCAGGCAGGGGACAATTGACTTCCCCAATGACATACACATGTTAAATTCACCAGTCTAGGGCATGAAGTGGTAACTAGTGGTACTTACAGGTAATTAGTAAAATATCTAGTTCATCACCAGTTACTCGAACTACTGGGTACACACCTACATAAAATATGAAATTTAGCATTATCAATACCACCAAATATAGTATTTCATATTCCTTTGTCTTCTTGTCATTGCAGGTCAAATGAATTGAATGGACTAGCTGTTATTTGTGATTGTCTCCAATACAAAAATGCCACCTGCTGATCAAACGATGTTAACGAGCTCCACCACCACTGTCGCAGCCACAAGTAATACATCCGCAGTTCCAATCACTAGCGCCAGTATCGCCACAGTGCTCAGTAATGGCGTGACAGCATCCACCACGTTAGCTAACATTAGCTCAACTTACGTGACTGCTATTGGGGGCAATAATACAGCTTACGATGTAACATACCTTGCGGAAAGCGGTTGTGTGACGCCAGAGGAAGAGTGGCATGATAGCTACTTTGGTGTCAAACTGGCTGTGCCAGAATGGGAAGCAATACTCACAGCTATCGTACTGTCCGTAATAATAGTACTCACAATCATTGGCAACATCTTGGTCATACTCAGCGTTTTCACATACAAACCTCTGCGCATCGTACAGAATTTCTTCATCGTGTCGTTGGCTGTGGCCGATTTAACAGTGGCATTGTTGGTGCTACCTTTCAACGTGGCCTACTCCATACTGGGTCGCTGGGAATTCGGTATTTATTTGTGTAAGATGTGGCTAACGTGCGACGTCATGTGTTGCACATCTTCAATATTGAATTTGTGTGCAATTGCCCTGGATCGGTATTGGGCCATTACAGACCCCATCAATTATGCTCAAAAGCGGACAGTGGGCAGAGTATTGCTATTAATTGCTGGCGTCTGGATATTATCGTTGCTCATCAGCTCGCCACCTCTGGTCGGTTGGAATGATTGGCCGGAAGAGTTTACCAGCTCCACACCTTGTGAGCTCAATTCAGATCCTGGTTATGTAATTTATTCCTCACTAGGATCCTTTTTCATTCCATTAATTATTATGACATTGGTTTACATAGAAATCTTTGTTGCTACTAGGCGGCGGCTTCGGGATCGGGCACAGGCGGCCAAAATGAATACAATGGCCACTCGCTCTGTCAGCGCCGATGTAGCCAGTACCACTGTGGCATCAAACCAAACCGGAGCTGGCACAATATCATCACTATGCTATAGTGTGATTTGTTGCTGTCGCAATTCTACTCCGTTCTCTACAACGCCGATGATACAAAACGATCAAGAGTCGGAGAGCAGTGAAACAAACGCCCACAACGAAAGTACAAGAGTCCAAAATCAAACAGAAGCCAGCTCAGCGGTGGCTTCACAGCGAAAAAAGACACGACGAGCCAAAATCAAAGACTCCATTAAACATGGAAAATTAAAAGCGCGCAAAGGCCATCCAGCCAATGATCTGGACGCACAAAAGTCCAAGGAGACAGGCAGCGGCGCTGAGCGCCTACTATTAACACCGAATACCAAGGGAACTGACAATGACCACCAAGAGATATCTACCGAGAGCGTCAGTGACGCCAAAGGCTGCATGCAAGTGTGTGGCAGTCGAAATGATGTCAATGAAATATCTACCGGCGATGGTGATGAAGAAAATGCCTCTTTGAAAATTACGCCGCCCCAGTCATCAGTTGGTGCCACGTCGTTGCAAGGTGTGCCCTTGCAAAAGAAACCCGGAGGGGTATATCAATTCATTGAGGAAAAACAAAAGATCTCATTGTCCAAGGAACGGCGTGCTGCCAGAACTCTCGGCATTATAATGGGCGTTTTCGTCATATGCTGGCTACCGTTTTTCTTAATGTACGTCATTTTGCCATTCTGTTCGACATGTTGTCCCACGGCTAAATTTAAGAACTTCATAACATGGTTAGGTTACATCAATTCCGTGTTGAATCCCATAATCTATACAATTTTCAATTTGGACTATAGACGAGCGTTCAAAAGACTATTAGGTATGAACTAGGCGAGCAAACAGACATACCCACACACACACACACACAACAATATTAGTAAAATCTATAGATAAGTTAATTTTAAATACATATAAATATATATATATATATATACGTAATTTGTAAGATTTCAATGGATATATGCAAATAAAATTATATTAAGAATGTACTGTAATTAAATAAGTAGATAACGAAGATATTTTTTCTTTTTTATTTTAATATATATATATATATATATATAAATATATCTAATATTATAAACAATATTAGAGTTCTAATTTGAAATGTTAGTTACACAGTGATCATAATACAGTCTAGAAGAAGAAGTCGTTTTGAACGTTCACCTGCCCAGTGTCTGCAGAGAACAGAACAATTGAGTATTTACTTTTACTGGTTTCGTTTTATCAAATTTTTATACCCTTCACCACACTGTGGTACAGGGTATTATGTCTTTGTGCATGTGTTTGTAACAGGCAAAAGGAAACGAGATAGACCCATGATTCCTTTTGAGAATATGCATAGAATCACTTTTTAAGTCGATTTATGCAGGTCCGTCCGTCCGTCTGTCTGTCTGTCCTGTATTTTTGTGAGCAAGTACAGGTCGCATTTATGATCCGAATTGGATGAAATTTGGCACAGCTCATTTGTTTGGCCCAAGGACGAACCCTATTGAAATTGGGAAAAATCGGTTCAGATTTAGATATAGCTCCCATATATATTTTCGTCCGATTTAATGTAAATGGTGTACCAAAGTCCCTATATATCTTTCGATTTGCACGAAATTTGGCATAACGTACTGAATTGAGCCTAGAGTGATGTCTGGTATGTAGATATGGCTCCCATATATAGTTTCGTCCGATTTCATGTAAATGGTGCACCAAAGTCCCTATATATCTTTCGATTTGCACGAAATTTGGCATAACGTACTGAATTGAGCCTAGAATGATGTGTGCCAGGTTTCGAGAAAATCGGTATAGATTTAGATATAGCTCCCATATATAGTTTCGTCCGATTTCATGTAAATGGTGCACCAAAGTCCCTATATATCTTTCGATTTGCACGAAATTTGGCATAACGTACTGAATTGATGCTGGAATGATGTGTGCTGAGTTTCGTGAAAATCGATTCAGGTCGTTTCACGTTTAGATAAATATCACATATTCTATTTCATACAATTTCATGATAATAGTCCTGTTTAATATACCCATAGTGGTGAAGGGTATTATATAGTCGGCCCCGTCCGACTTTACTACTTTCCATACTGGTTTCTTCTAGATAAAGATAGATTTTTATAAAAATGTGGGCAAATGTTTGTGCATATCCATAATGTATTAACACTTTAAGATGCGATTTATTTTCCTTACTCACAGAACTATTTACTGCATTCAGAAATACTGTAACTATTATACACTTCTTCATTCGACAAATAAGTTTCAAGTATAGAAAAAGAAGTCCAATGTATAGAAAAAGAAAATCCAACTTTAGTATTACAAAACATGTTGACAATTTTCTAAATTTTGTATGAAATACATTTTCTCTATGATTGAAATTCTTGCTCTGTTTCAGAATCGATTTTGCCTTTACAAATTTGAAAAGTGTTATAATTTTTATGTTCGGGACCCTACCAAATATGAATACAAGATGGTAAACAATTTTAACTGTACGCACAAATATTTTAATACACATTTTGTATAGGGTCTATATATAGATAGCATATAGTTGAAATAATTAAATTTAATTTGAAAACTAATCTTACATATTTTCTTATATGAAACGTTTTCAAACAACTTTGTCAGCTTTGGTGTTTGGCAAACATTTCTTATATTTTTCTTATTCCCGTTTTTTCTTATATGAACCAATTTTTACACTGAGGAGATGTAAAAAGGCTCGGTGTTTTGGATAATCTTTCTTATATGCGATTTTTTCTTATATGAGATGTGCTTATATCCGATATCTACTGTACTACTTTGTGCCACGAGGAAGAAAAGCTAATCCTAGTGGTAAACTTTGGGATAAATACCAAAACCAGAGAACAAAGCGATTGTGTTCAATGGGCTCAATCAATGATCATTTTGAAGCTTCAGACTCAATCCCCGATAATACTTGTTCACTTCTACAAGCTTTAAAAGTTTGATTGTCAAGGGATTTTTCTGACTTGGATGAAGTTAAAGACATGTGGCAAAGGACATTTTCATTAAGGCAAAGCGAACTGAAGTCGTCTGGTAGTAATTACGAATTCCTTAGCGATTGGCCATTATATACTAATAGCAGAGCTGATGAACTAGTAAGCATTACTACAATCAAAAAGGACAAATTGTTGTTATTTTTATTATTATTTCAGATTAATATAGACTTTGAGATTCTGCATCCAATTCTGCAATTCTCATGAACAAAATTGGCAATTATTATTACCTACGCACAAGTGACAAAAAATCAAAAGAAGTTCTTACAAATGCAAAGTGTATTTTTGACCAAAGTTAGTATTGCATAATCAAATAAATTGTGTCTACTTTTTATTAATTCACCATTTTTTACAAGGTTCTTTAGACTGTTTACATGCAATTCTACTTAATTTTACCAAACGCACGTTTTGCGGACAAATCTGGCAAGAATTAAAAAAAAAATGTCTATAGCAGATGCTATCGAGAGCTTCGTTGTCCCTATAGTATCAATAAATGATTATAATTCAAGAAAAAATATTACAATAGGGGGTTGACTATACAACAATTTATAATAGTTGCAGGCCACAGTATTTATAATCTTGAGAAATTTTACGTCAATTTTGATAATACTTAGATACATACTTTAATACATACGTTATCGTTGGAATATGCAAAAGGATGAAATAAAACCAGCTCAAGTTTATAAGTTACCAAGAAATTTTTGGCCTATTTTTTAACATTGAAAATGTTTTATTTCATCAGAGTGATAACTCTCTAGTCCAAAGAAACATAATATACTTTTTTAATTCTGTTTGAAAGAATATTATTTAGAAATATATTTATATGGAAGCATATACACCCATTTTTAGTTAAACTACGAACTGATTTTAATTTAGTAATTTTGTATTTTTATATGCTGTATTCTTGTGTTTAATAACATGTTTTATCTTTAAAACACGCTTTTCATTTAAAAATTTTACTTTAAGAGAATATATTCATATATAAAAGATTTCTTATATGAGTATATACGCATATAAGAAACAACTTTCTTATATCCGATAATTCCATATAAGAAAGAAATCTCCGGCTTTTTTGAGTTTCTTATATCCGATATCTACTGTATTCCTAAAATAGAAATAATTGAAAGAATAATTGAAATGGCTCTGAAAAAAAGAATGCATATTACAAAAAAGATAAACTATGATTTTAAATTTTACCTTAGACAGCATACAATTAGAAATTAATGTTGATAAGGATGACGCTGGGTCCATTTTATTTGTCAACTAACATACCAATTGAATTAAAGATGCAGCTATAGTTATGATATGCAGTGTATAAAGATAGATTTGCTTCTGTTTTGCCAATCCCCATTGCATTTGTCACAGTGTATGAAAACAAAAAGGAATTAATGACAATTTTGAAAATATTTTTTTATTTTCAAATGTTTCTATTTTTATCATTGTGGGTGTGAGGGTTTTGACACACACCGACAGCCAATGGGACCTATGTTGGGCACTGCTGCATTAAATTGATTTTGTAACCAAGAGACTACTTTATTGGCAATCGTTGGAGATAATGTATCGTCATCAATGTTATACGTACTGTAGAAAATGCGAAAAAAATATTTGAAATAAACAAAATGAAAACATGATTAAGAATGATTTTCCTTACATCAGTTTTTCTCCAAAAGAACAACTTTTCCCTTTGTTACAAATGAATCGGTTCCCTTTGTTTATGTTGATCATATGTATATACATACTTTCTAAACCAGTGAGCGGAGCAGCATAGTCGGACGTGACCGACCATACGATACCCTACACAAATACCACGGAACTCTAAGTGCTGCGAATTTTTATTCTGAGCCTGACAATAATTCGTGATATTTGCACCCTATTGCTTGATTAGAGGCAAACAGCATCTCTTCCTTACACTGGCATATTTTCCGAATATTATAAATATTCAGTAAAGCTCTTCTAATTACTTGTTCAGATTCCTTTCACCGTGGGTGTTAGTGTGATGTTTGGCTTATAATTGTGGCTTATATATCGTCTGCATAAAAACGCAAAAAATTAAGTTTTCGGTCCACTTCATTCCAAAATTATTATCTGATCATCACCGAAAATTAAAGGCGTTGTCCTTGACCATAACTGAAACCTCATGTTACAATATTACAATATATATATATATATATATATATAATATTTCCGTCTTCGTCACATAAATTAATGTTATCTTGGCTAAAATTTTGCACACTATTGCCAACATTTATATTATTATTGTCCGCTTCCGACATAATTGTATTTTAAAGAATTAAATTCGCTTAATATGTGTAGCACTTTACTTTTCCTCACGGTATACGCTTTAACACTCTATTCAATGCTATACGAATGGAATTATTGTTACATATTCTAAAATAGCGGTACTTGTTCTTTTTTATAATTCAACATGAAATAATTTCAACATTTGTTCTTGTTTTTTTAACAATCCGCAACTTTAATACAGTCATGTTCAAGTTATCACTTACATTTCACTACATATATTAATTTAACATGATTGAAATGTTGTTTCAACATGTGCCAACGTTATTTAATTGTTAAAATAGAAGAATGTCATTTTAACATTAATAACTATTTTTATTATTATTTTTTCATTTTTCAATTTCAATTTCACAATGGAAAATGTTATTTTAACAACTCACAATGATTGAAATGTTGTTTCAACATGAGTCAATGTTATTTAATTTTTAAAATTTAAAAATGTCATTTCAACAATAATAACTATTAATTTTACTATTGTCACAATGTTAACATGAAAAATTCTTATTTTTATTATAAAAATTCATCTATGGA